TATCATCAATCACAAAAAGAGAGAAGGAATATAGCATTAATTTATACAAGGGTTCAAAATAATCCTAGAGCAAAGAGTTTAGTTACTCATAAATATAAAAAAGCTACAAATACACAAGATATTCACAGCTTTTACAATATTACAAGAAGGAAAGGGAAGAAGAATAGAAAAATAAAAGAAAATGAGCTCCAAATATCTTCAAAACTCTATTGTTTCAAACACTTCCAATGCCCAAACCCTAGTATACCCAATGTGAACACCGTATTTTGTCCGAACATTTTTTTAAATTTAATAATAAAATCAAAAAATACAAAAATACAAAAATAAAATTTAATCCCTTTTTAAGATTATATTGTCAAAAAATAATAATAATGATAATTTAACAAAATCAAAAAAAAGAAAGGTTAAATCTTGAAAAAAGAAAATCTCTCCCAAATTATCCCAATCATTCAAGAATATTGAGAGTCTACTTTTGAGAGTTAACTTTTCTCTCCTCAAATCCTATTTTCATTTAAATACATATTTTATATATATGTGTGTGTGTGTGTGTGTGTGTGTTAATTAGAATTATTAATCAAAAATAAAAAAAGAGAAAAAAAGCTGGACAAAACGCTGATAGAGTCAGCATTTCATCACGGCTTAAGTGGACGGTCAGGCACACACAAGCAGAAACCTGCACACACACACGAGAGAGCAGAAGGAAAAAAAGCACAGCAAAGAAACACAGAAACAGCAAAGAAACACAGGCACAGAGACACAGAAACAAAAACAAGCACACAGTTTTGACCATGCAGCAGGAAAAAGGACAGAAATAGCAGAACACACGAACACATGAGCCGCAGATGCTGAAAGAACCAGAGGCAACAGACACAAAATGCAGAAGAAGCAAAACAGAGCAGAAAGAATAGCAAGCAACCGAAACACGTACGTTATGCTTTTGGCTGGCAGGAGAAAGGAAACAGAACCAAGGACGCACGCATGCATGAAGGAAACGGCACAGCAGAGAAAGAAGATGGGATGGCACAAAAAATAGAGATAGAAAATGTAACAGAAGAAGAAGCAGAGCAGGAGAGTAATGATTCACGTTGTCCATTCTCTATATAAGGAGAAGACGGGGACAGTGAAGAGGGGAGGAAGCAACGTAAAAAAAACAGAGGAAGAGGGACTGAAGGACGTGAAGCAGAGAGCTAAGACGAGAAGGAGAGAGAGTTGAGATGAAAATGAAGGAGGAAGAGTTTGGAGAAGAAGAGAATATGGTGACGAGGAAGAGAGAACTCGGACAAAGGAGAGAGAGGACCGAAAGACGTGAAATAGAGGCTGAGATGGAGGAGAGGGTGAAAACAGAGATAAGAGAGGACGTGACGGAGGAGCTTTTCTTTCTGGAAAAGCTGAGAAGGAGAAGAGGGAGACCAAAAGCTGAACGAAAAAAGGACAGAGATGGAGAGAGGTGAAACAGAAGCTGAGGGAAAAGGACTATTCCGGCTGGAGAAAAGTAGAGGAAATGAAGAAGAAGGAGGCAGTTTTGGCTGGAGGAAAGAAGGAGAAAAACATGCACAGAAGAAACAAAAAATAGAGCACGAAAAACTGAAGGAGAAGAGAGAGGCTGAGGGAGGAAGAAACAGACATCAAGAAGAGAGAGACCGAGAAGGAGAAATAGGAATGTGAAAACAGAGCAGAAATCCAGAGCAGGAGATCGAGGAGAAGAGCATGAGGATGGATGGAAGAGAAGAGAAGAAAGCTAGACGTGAAAGCTGAAAACCGAGACAGACAGAAAGAGGAAACGAGATCAGGAAGGGAAGAGTCTACTGGACTAGTGAGACGGTGCTGAGATGTGCTATACACAGGTTTATTAGTCTTTTTGTTTAAAAATTTAAAATGCTCAGTTTATTAATTTTCAAACAAATTTCATGTTTAAATACCCGTCTCTCATTTTTTAATTCTTAAGTAAAAATCAACGTAATTGTCTTTTTCTTAAAAAAATAAAAAAGAGAGTATGAAAAAGAAGGATAGAGAGATTGGAAATAATAATTTTGTTTGCTATCATAACTAAGCTTAATGCAATTTTAGGCATAATCTCATTTCAAATAAAGAAAGAGTTAGTGCAATTATTAGGGGAACAAGAGAAAATTTATCTCTAATCATTTACTTGTCGTGTGAGATTTTAAGAATTTCCACAAACATTTAAAGTGGTCTCATTTTGTGTAAATCAATAAGGTTTTGCAGGAATAGAGATCCAATTTATATGTATAATCAATAGTTTTAATGACCCATCGTTAAAATTAACTTTTTTTTAAGTAATTTATTTCAGTCCCATGTGAGACTTCAAAAGTTTTTGTAAAGACTTAAATTAGCCACATTATCATGTGGGACAATAAATCCTCGCAGATATAGTGATTTTTAATCGTTATAATAAATAAATGATTTTTTTAAACAATCATATAATACCCAATTTAGAAGATTAATTTAACCATATCCACCAATTATATATCTTAGTCATGTGAGATTTTTGAATCTCCGTAGACTTCTAAAATAATCGTATTATCATATGGGTAAATAAGACTTTACAGATATAACGATTAAATTTATTAAAATACATATAAATTATATATTAAATTAATTAAATTAAAGACATATTTAAATTTAATTCCTTTATCGTGTGAGATTTTGGAATCTCCGTAGATATTTAGGATAATCATATTACCGTATAAGTCAATATGGCTTTGCAGGTATGTTGATTAAAATTCTTCAAAACATGTATCTACATACTAAAAAAACTATTATTGGCACTTAAAAATGTGCATAAGAATATAAATAAATAAATCAAAATTGCCAAACTCTTTTATCGTGTGAGATTTTAAAATCTCCGCAGATATTTAGAGCAATTGCATTATCGTATGAATTAATAAGGTTCTGCAGGTACTGCGATTAAAATTCTCAATCATAAAACATAAAGAAAAATAGTTTTAAACCCTTTTCTTTCTTTATTCCAAAAATTCAAAAATGGAGAAAAATAATTAAAATTAAATTACCTTTTGTAATTTAAAACACACATATCAAAATTTTAGAAATTGTTTTATTTGCAAAAGGGTGAATTATTTCTAATTAATTTCCCTTCAAAAAGTATTTTCATCAACAAACTTTTAAGCCCGAACTACGTGGATTTTGATCCCCATCACAGGGTACGTAGGCCTCAGAGTCAGATTCTGAGTCAAGTCCGTTCTCCCTCGTAAATAAATAAACATTTCTCACATAATTCTTATCATTTTTATCAAACACATGAATACAAAAGGGATAATTAAAATAATATTAAAAGAGCACAACAAAATTTAGGTAACCGTTCTGACGAACGGGTGTTGTGGGATGCCTAACACCTTCCCCACACTCAACCGACTCCCGAACCTATTCTCTGATTTCGCAGACCACCCTTATCCTCCTTTTAACTGGTTTCCCGAGATTTACCTCAAAATCTTGGTGGCGACTCCTCGTTCGATCCAATTCCCGCCGCAAAGGCCGAGACCTCCGCTTGCACGCCGTCCGCGTCGCATTTTTCTGAGTGTGACAGTTGGCGACTTCGCTGGGGATAGTTAGAGAGTCAAGCTTATAAGTCTGTTGTGCTCAAAATATAATATGGTTTATTTTCATTATCTCTTTAAATTTATGTGTCCCTTATTTCTTCCTCTTTTCCCCTTTTCTCTTCCCTTTTGTATTTTATAACATGTTTTTAAGGTAGATAACATGCGAAATAAACCTTAAGATAGATTACTTTTATTTATACATATATTTATTTCTCGGTTTGATCTGGTTAAAGTTAAGGGTTGGGTAGCATATGAGAATAAGATAACATGCTTGCATGCTCTCATCACACACTATACACTTACACAATTTGACACACACATATTTTAGGCTCTATACCCGGGTCTGTAAGTACCATAGGTTAGTAGAGGTTAGTAGTGGTTTCCCTGTGGAGTTTTTGAACTCTCGGAGGTTACCATGAATACCTTACCCAAGCTGTTACTTGCTTAATAAATTTGGTCCCTGTAGAGCTTATGTTCTCGGAAGGCTAAAATTATTAAGTAAGGTCTTCACCTTCGGGTAAGGGCATTTTGGGAGCCTTTTAGGAATATACATCTATCCGTGAATTACACGTTTTACACAAAAGTTAGTAGCCAACCATTCTAGTGAACACCTAATTATGAACTTAAGTCTCCCTGAATAGGACACAGGATGAGAGTATTGATCTTTTATTGCATCATTGTCATAGCATGTGATCATAAAGTATACGCATTCTTTTATAAAAAAAACCACAAATTAAATAATTTCTCTTGTTATTGAGTTATTTCATTTTTAAAGTCGGGACTTTAGCCATGTGTCAGTTTTAGCTACACATAGGCTAATTAATCCCTTTCTCCCTATGGGGTAATAAGCACATTGAAGAGAGAAGGGATTTTCTCCTTGCATATCTATCACCAAAATCATTTTTTTATTTTTTTTCTCAAAATAAAATTGTAAGGCTGAACCTTTCAACATTAATCATGTAGGGAATTTAAACCTCTCGTCAATTAATTGTTTACTCCATCTCCTTATGATGCAATAAGTGTCTGGAGGATAGGGTTTTCAAAAAAAAAGGAGTCAGATAGCTTGTTAAAATTATGAGAATTGTATATTATTAACTTTTGTTTTGATTAACAGGAATCGTGAGTTATCCAGAATCTTTGTGAAATTGGTATAAGGGATAAATGGCACTCGAAAGTAGTACAAATCTAAGTCACACTGGAAAGTTATATCAAGGAAAAGGGATCAAATTATCTGTAAAAGTTGAGCCGCTGGAAACCTTAATTAAGTTGAGCCGTCATATCAAAGGGAAGATTATGCAAGATTTTAAAAGGAAATATGAAAATATCTTGGATCTTCTGTCAGTCACAATACATAATGATGCAATAATAGAATTAAGCCAATATTAGGATGCCTCGTTAAGATGTTTCACATTTCAAGACTTCCAAATGGCACCGACTTTGGAAGAATATGGAGAAATTTTGAGAGTGCCCCTTAAGGAGAACATGACAGTATATATTTATCCTGGGTATTTACCATCTCGAGGTACGATAGCGAAAATTTTGGAAATTCCTAAGGAAAAAGTACAAATGGTTTGCCCAGGACAAACAGAGGGAATCTCAAGAGCTAATGTAAAAGCCCACTTGAAAGTTTTGGCAGAAAAAGAGGCTTGGGTTACGTTTTACAGAGTCTTTGCCTTATGCATATATGGAATAATCATGTTTCCATCATCAATTGGCATAATTGATTTAGGAGCCATTAGTGTATTCCAAATGGTGGAATACCATAACGTGAATCCGATACCAGTAATCTTGGCAAAAATATACTTGACCTTAACTCAATGTCATAATAAAAGGAAAGGAAAGGTCAATTGTTGTATTGCGTTACTGGATTTATAGATGCTTGGCCACCTTTATGAAAAGACGCTTCCTTTCAGAAAGAAGAATGACTCAGACAGTTATCCACTCATGTCTTTTAAGGGTCAATTCGTGATTGACGGAATGAGCTACATGGATTGGAAAAGAACCTTCTCAGAACTTAAAGAAAGTTCCATCTTATGGAAACTAGACTGGTGGTGGAAAGAGGAGGTTATTTACCATTGTGGTGACTTTTCGAATGTGCCTTTAATGAGACCCAGAGGGTGTATCAACTATAACCCTTCCTTAGTGTTAAGGCAATTGGCCTATAAGCAAAATGTTCCTTCTAAGAAAGAGGTACAGGAGTTATACTTTCTACATCAGGAGGATGGGACAAAGTTATCAAACCAGATTGTCAAAGAAGCATGGCAAAAGATAGGGTACAAAGGAAAGATTGAGCGAGGGATACGTATAGTAAACTCAAGTCCAGAATATACTACTTGGCTGAAGAGTATGATTCAAGGAGAAAATCATTTATTCCATCCTCAAAATCCCTTATTAGACAATGGCTTGAAAGAGATTAATGAGCAATTGGTTGAATGCTTGAAGATGAAGGAAAATGAGTTACAAGAGCTTGCTAGCTTAGAGTCCAAGAATAAGGAAGAATTGGAAAAATACCAAAATGAATGCATTGAGTTATAGAGGAAGCTAGCAAAGGAAAGAGAAGGGCATAACCTTGAAGAAATACCTGAGACTAAGAAATTGAAAAAGGAAAATGCCAAACTGAAAAGGGAAGTGCAAACTAGTGACAATAAAGTTCAAAGTACTAAAGCAAGACTTGTCAAAATAGTCAGGGAAAATGATGCATTGAAGAAGGAATTACAAGACATCAGGCCTATCGAGGAGATGCAGCAAGAAATCAATACGCTCACAAGACAATTGGAAAGGAAGGTGAATGAACTAGCCAGGGTAAGAGGAAGTGCAGCTAAGACAGCACAGAACTTTGTTCAGAGGCTTAATCAACAAAATGAAATCTTAGAAGAGTGGAAATCACTTTGCCTTGATCAAACAGAAGAAACCAAAGAGTGAATGTTAAAATGTAGGCAGATAATTGATTTGGCTAATGACAAAATTCCAGAATTTACAAGAGCATTTAAGCAAGCTGAAGGCATGGTTCTCCCTAGAGGAACTCCATTAGAGATTATTGAATTCTTCTATTTGTGCAATGAAATTGTAAAAGAACTTAATAGCATGATAAAGTTCTAAATCTGTATTAACATTTGAATCATTGTATGAGGATCCATATGACGCTTTGTGGTTGTGAAATTGTTGATTGATTTGTACTACCATCATTTTCTTAAAACCTTGGATTTTGATAGGATCCAATGTCCTTCTAATTCAATGGTCAACTTTAAATCCCTTATGAAATAATAAATTTCTGGAGGAATTTAAAGGGTGCCAGTATCGTGAAACCCTTATGTCTACACAATGCTGGATATCTTACGAAACAAACGTAAAGGTAAAACTTATTAAAATTAATTATTATGTTACACAGGTAAGCCAACATTGTGCCTCGAAAGAAAAACTCGGCTGACCAGATTCCCACCACTCGTACATATAACACACGATCGCGTAGTCGTGCAATGGAAAATTCAAACGTGAATGAGTCAGCAGCCTTAAATGATCGGATGTCTACAGTGGAGTCTAAAATGGCTGAAATAAGTGACATGATGAAATTACTAACTGAGGCTTTAAAAGGAAGGAGTGATGATAATCCACCACAGAATACCGTAGCAGATGAGAACGCAGCTAATAGAACAATTGAGCCAAACAGAGGATCAGATCTTAAAGTACCCACGCCAGAGAAACAAGATTCTGGGATAGGGGCCTTTAATATACCGGATAGTCCTAGGGAAGATCATGCCTACATGTTCCAAATCCCATAAGTGCTACATAAAGAGAAGGAGTTGAAAGAAGAACTTGGAGAGATGAAAGATCAATTGAAGGCTTTTCAAGGATCGAACACGTGGGGTTCCTTAGACTTGAAAGAATTATGTTTGACCCTAGAAATCAATGTTCCTAAGAAATTCAAGATGCCAAACTTCGATAAATATGATGGCACAAGTAACCCAATTTATCATTTGAGGGCTTATTGCACAAAGATGTCCATATGGTCATAAGATGAGAAGTTTCTGATAAACTTCTTTCCCGAAAGCTTAACTGGAGCCGCATTGACTTGGTACATGCAACTAGACCAAACCAAGATTAAAAGATAGAAAGACCTTGTGGATGTTTTCATGAGACAATACAAGTTCAATCTTGATACTGCTCTGACTAAAGAACAATTGAAAGCGATGACCAAGAAATCATCAGAATCATTCAAAGAATATGCTCAAAGATGGAGAATAGTGGCTTCGCAAGTGCAACCTCCAATAGTTAATTCCGAACTTTGCTTGTACTTTATCCGTGCATTGCCTAAGCCATTTTACCAACACATGATAGGAACACATGTCATTGATTTAATGGTAATTAGAGAAAGAATCGACATAGACATACGAGAGGGGAAGATAGCCACTTCTCAAGCTGAAAGTAGTTCACAAAAGAACTATGACCAAAAAAAGAAAGAAGGGAATGTGAACTATATTCAACCCATAAGACAAGCAGCTACCAGTTCTCAAGTCCCTTATCAAATAGAGGGAAGGAATCAAAGACAGCAACAATTTAGATTCAGGTCTAACAAGCATGGGCAGGACACAGAGAGGAGAAATATCCAATCCAGGGATAGTTCCCATGGCCTAATTTTGGATTAACAAATGCTGAATTGTACCATAAACTTCTGATAGCCCAATTATTAGGTCCACGACCTTATAAGCCTCCTGGTTTGCCTTACCCAGCGTGGTATAATCCAAATGCTATTTTTAAGTACCACATGAGTGTACCTGGACACTCAATAGAAGACTGTGTGACGTTTAAAAGAAATGTGCTAGACTTGGTTGACTCTAATCATATCCAGCTCAAAGAAGAGGAAAGCTCTACCATTACCACTAATCCACTTTCAAATCACGAAAAATGAGTCAATGCTATTAAAGAAGAGGATGCAGGTTTCAAAAGCTCTACAAGGATCGAGATGCCTATGAATGAGCTTTATGCTCACTTAAAGGAGTATGGCTATATGTGAGAAATGCTCCTCACAGATAATATCAATGATCAAATGTCTGGATACTGTGAATATCATCAGGAGAAAATGGGCCATGACATAGAAAGTTGTGAAGAGTTTAAAGTTGTTAGAAAAATGATGGTGTTAGGGATTGTGTCTGTAAAGAAGGGAGACACTAAAGTGTGCATGGTAGAGAAAAAGTGTATTGAGCTTGTCATTAATTCAAGCCCAAAAGAGCAAGTCCAGGCAGTCTCTTTTGTGATCAACAAAGCCTCTGTAGATCTTGCACCTCATGTAAAACAACCAACATTAACCATAAGCACGCCTCATCCCTTTCCCTACAAAAGTGATCGAGCAGTCCCGTGGAGATATCAAAGCATTGTGGAGAACCACAAAAACCCAATGTTAGTTGCCGGGACAAGTAATGAAATAGCAAACCCAGGGGGTGTTACTCGAAGTAGAAAACCATACTTACCATCTTACATTAGGAAAATGATAAGAGAGAAAAATGTAAGTGTTGACAGGCCAGAGGAAGATAATCCTAAAGAAATTAAAAAATTAGAAGATGAGTTTTTATCGATTATGAAGCAAAGTGATTACAGCATTGTGGACCAATTGAAGAAAACTCCAGCGCGTATCTCAATACTTTCTTTGATTTTGAATTCCGAAGCGCATCGCCAAGCATTGCAAGAAGTGTTGAATCAAGCTTTTGTGCAGCCTAATATAACCCCTGAGAAGGTGGCAAGTGTAATGAATGTTGTAAAAGCCTCCTCTACCATTTCCTTTTCGGAAGAGGAAGTTATAAAAACTACTGTCTACTAAACTAAGGCTTTGCACATCACTTTAAAATGTGAAGGGTTTATAATTACAAGAGTATTAATTGATGGAGGATCAGCGTTAAATGTCTTGCCACTCTCTACGTTTGAATCATTATCATTAGAAGCTTCAAGTATACATAAAAGCAATATTATGGTAAGAGCATTCGATGGATTAAGACGGGAAGTATTAGGATCTGTTTGTCTCTCCCTAGAGATAGGGCCAAGCAGGTTTAAGGTGGATTTCCAACTCATGAACAGAGACCCAAGCTACACAATGCTGCTAGGAAGGCCATGGATTTATTCTGCTAGGGCTGTTCCTTCTACCCTACATCAAAAAGTTAAGTTCATTAGTGATGGGGGAATTGTAGCAGTTAAAGGAGAGGAGGAAATCATGGTGAGCAGACCAAGCTCACTCCCTTGTACTGAGGCTGTGGAGAAGGATCAAGGAGTTTCCTTTCAAAGCTTGGAGGTTGAGGGTATTTGTGACAATACTCACAACATCAATTCTGTTGTGGCTAAAATCATGATGAAGAGTGGGTTTATGCCAGGGAAAGGTTTAGGTTCTCATTTACAAGGAATTACGTGTCCAATTAAGGTTTTGGATAATTGTAATCGCCAAGGGTTAGGGTATGAGCCTACCCTAGAAGACCAGATGAAAGACAAAGCAAGTTTGGCGAAAGGCAAAAAGACCAGTAAATTGGAGATTCCACACATCAAAGAATCCTTCCCAGGTCTATCTAAGGTGATATATGAACCAACTGTCTCAGTGATCTCTTCTAACGAAGATATAGCATGTGGAACAAGTGCCTTAATTGCAATTGTTGATTCCAACAAAGTTCTGGCAAATTGGGAGTTTGAAGAGGCCAATGATGTCATTAGCTTAGAGTAATTGTTTCAATTATGTTGTTCCCATTTTGTTATCCACTTTTTGAGCCCAGGTTTAGGTAATAGATCTTGGGTATTCTCTAATGCAAACTTTTGATATATGTAATTCATGAAAATGAATTTCAGTTGCATTCATGTCTATCTCTTCATTCCACCTTATCTACTTCAATACATCTTTCTCCATTTCATTCCTGTTCCTTATTTTATCTCATTTTATATTCATTATCCAGGGATTTTGTTTCCTCTGATTCCATCTCTCACCTAGAGATTAATAAACCCTGTGAAGATGATTCACTCATTGCCACTAATATGCATGATTGTAAGTCTGATGATGAAGACATAATCCAAACTTTTTTTAAGATGCTTAAATTGAGTGATAAGGGAATATGCCCACATAAAGAAGTGATTGAGATGGTTAATATGGGAATCGAGGAGGATCAAAGAATGCTCAAAATAGTAGATAGTCCTGAAAGGGAACAAATGATTGAGTTGTTCAAAGAATACATAGATATGTTTGCATGGTCTTATAAAGATATGCCTGGGCTAGACCCACGCATTGCTTCTCATAAAATACCAGTACTTCCCAAGGTTGAGCCTAAGAAATAGAAGGAGAATGAACACGGGGGTGTCCTTGCAAATAAAAGAAGAAGTAATAAAGCAGTTAAAAACAGGATTTTTGGAGGTAGTAACTTACCCACAATGGGTGGCAAATATTGTTCCTGTTCCTAAAAAAAGATAGTCGGATTCGAATGTGTGTTGATTATTGTAATTTAAATAATGCGAGCCCGAAAGATGATTTTTCATTACCCCACATTGATGGATTGGTCGATAATACTGCTCGA